TAGATCCATCGGATACGATTATGGGCCTATAGCATTCACATGATAATGGAGTCAGATGGTATATGATATTAGGGTCGCAAACCCATAAACTAATTCTGTGCTACACTAGCTTTGGTCCAGGGTGTAGCTAGTAGCTAGCTAGCTCTGGTCCGCACTAACTAACTCTGGTCGAGGCTGGAGCTAGTTGTAGCAACTATCTAGCTAGCTCTGGTCCGCACTAGCTCTGGTCCAGGGCTAGCTAGCAGCTAGACATGTAATCTCACCACCGTGCTGTTGGTGGCAGTAACGCATCATCTTCTCTGGGACCATTCAACATCCTGTCTCAGCTCGTATGTCTCATGGCATCTGTTCCCTGAGAAGGTACAGTATCTGCTGAAGCCAGACCCTATTGGTATTTTTGGCTACTTGCCATTGTTTTATGCATTTATATTAGCCAGTGGTCTTTTGCAATGACACATTTTACATTTACATTTACGTCATTTAGCAGACGCTCTTATCCAGAGCGACTTACAAATAGGTGCATTCACCTTATAGCCAGTGGGATAACCACTTTACAATGTCTTTATATTTTTCTTATTTTTTGTTTTAAAAAAATATTCTTTTTATTTATTTATTTATTTATTTATTTATTATTATATATTAATATTTTTTTTGGGGGGGGGGGGGGTGGTAGAAGGATTACTTTATCCTATCCCAGGTATTCCTTAAAGAGGTGGGGTTTCAAATGTCTCCGGAAGGTGGTGAGTGACTCCGCTGTCATAGCGTCTTGAGGGAGCTTGTTCCACCATTGAGGTGCCAGAGCGGCGAACAGTTTTGACTGGGCTGAGCGGGAACTATGCTTCCGCAGAGGTAGGGGAGCCAGCAGGCCAGAGGTGGATGAACGCAGTGCCCTCGTTTGGGTGTAGGGACTGATCAGAGCCTGAAGGTACAGAGGTGCCGTTCCCCTCACAGCTCCGTAGGCAAGCACCATGGTCTTGTAGCAGATGCGAGCTTCAACTGGAAGCCAGTGGAGTGTGCGGAGGAGCGGGGTGACGTGAGAGAACTTGGGAAGGTTGAACACCAGACGGGCTGCGGCATTCTGGATGAGTTGTAGGGGTTTAATGGCACAGGCAGGGAGCCCAGCCAACAGCGAGTTGCAGTAATCCAGACGGTAGATGACAAGTGCCTGGATTAGGACCTGTGCCGCTTCCTGTGTAAGGCAGGGTCGTACTCTCCGAATGTTGTAGAGCATGAACCTACAGGATCGGGTCACCGCCTTGATGTTAGCGGAGAACGACAGGGTGTTGTCCAGGGTCACGCCAAGGCTCTTCGCACTCTGGGAGGAGGACACAACGGAGTTGTCAACCGTGATGGCGAGATCATGGAACGGGCAGTCCTTCCCCGGGAGGAAGAGCAGCTCCGTCTTGCCGAGGTTCAGCTTGAGGTGGTGATCCGTCATCCATACTGATATGTCTGCCAGACATGCAGAGATGCGATTCGCCACCTGGTTATCAGAAGGGGGAAAGGAGAAAATTAGTTGTGTGTCCTCAGCGTAGCAATGATAGGAGAGGCCATGTGAGGATATGACAGAGCCAAGTGACTTGGTGTATAGCGAGAATAGGAGAGGGCCTAGAACTGAGCCCTGGGGGACACCAGTGATGAGAGCACGTGGTGCGGAGACAGCTTCTCGCCACGCCACTTGGTAGGAGCGACCGGTCAGGTAGGACGCAATCCAAGAGTGAGCCGCGCCGGAGATGCCCAGCTCGGAGAGGGTGGAGAGGAGGATCTGATGGTTCACAGTATCAAAGGCAGCAGACAGGTCTAGAAGGACAAGAGCAGAGGAGAGAGAGTTAGCTTTAGCAGTGCGGAGAGCCTCTGTGACACAGAGAAGAGCAGTCTCAGTTGAATGACCAGTCTTGAAACCTGACTGGTTTGGATCAAGAAGGTCATTCTGAGAGAGATAGCAAGAGAGTTGGCTAAAGACGGCACGCTCAATAGTTTTGGAGAGAAAAGAAAGAAGGGATACTGGTCTGTAGTTGTTGACATCAGAGGGATCGAGTGTTGTTTTTTTGAGAAGGGGTGCAACTCTCGCTCTCTTGAAGACGGAAGGGACATAGCCAGCGGTCAAGGATGAGTTGATCAGCGAGGTGAGGTAAGGGAGAAGGTCACCGGAGATGGTCTGGAGAAGAGATGAGGGGATAGGGTCAAGCGGGCAGGTTGTTGGGCGGCCTGCCGTCACAAGTCGCAAGATTTTATCTGGAGAGAGAGGGGAGAAAGAAGTCAAAGCATAGGGTAGGGCAGTGTGAGCAGGACCAGCAGTGTCATTTGACTTAACAAACGAGGATCGGATGTCGTCAACCTTCTTTTCAAAATGGTTGACGAAGTCATCCACAGAGAGGGAGGAGGGGGGGGGGGATTCAGCAGGGAGGAGAATGTGGCAAAGAGCTTCCTAGGGTTAGAGGCGGATGCTTGGAATTTAGAGTGGTAGAAAGTGGCCTTAGCAGCAGAAACAGATGAAGAAAATGTAGAGAGGAGGGAGTGAAAAGATGCCAGGTCTGCAAGGAGTCTAGTTTTCTTCCATTTCCGCTCAGCTGCCCGGAGCTCTGTTCTGTGAGCTCGCAATGAGTCATCAAGCCACGGAGCTGGAGGGGAGGACCGAGCCGGCCGGGAGGATAGGGGACATAGAGAGTCAAAGGATGCAGAAAGGGAGGAGAGGAGGGTTGAGGAGGCAGAATCTGGAGATTGGAGGGAGAAGGATTGAGCAGAGGGAAGAGATGATAGGATGGAAGAGGAGAGAGTAGCGGGAGAGAGAGAGCGAAGGTTGCGACGGCGCATTACCATCTGTGTAGGGGCAGAGTGAGTAGTGTTGGAGGAGAGGGAGAGAGAAAAGGATACAAAGTAGTGGTCGGAGACTTGGAGGGGAGTTGCAGTGAGATTAGTAGAAGAACAGCATCTAGTAAAGATGAGGTCAAGCGTATTGCCTGCCTTGTGAGTAGGGGGGGGGGGGCGGTGAGAGGGTGAGGTCAAAAGAGGAGAGGAGTGGAAAGAAGGAGGCAGAGAGAAATGAGTCAAATGTAGACGTAGGGAGGTTGAAATCCCCCAGAACTGTGAGGGGTGAGCCATCCTCAGGAAAGGAACTTATCAAGGCGTCAAGCTCATTGATGAACTCTCCAAGGGAACCTGGAGGGCGATAGATGACAAGGATATTAAGCTTAAATGGGCTAGTGACTATGACAGCATGGAATTCAAATGAGGAGATAGACAGATGGGTCAGGGGAAAAATTGAGAATGTCCACTTGGGAGAGATGAGGATTCCTGTGCCACCACCCCGCTGACCAGATGCTCTCGGGGTATGCGAGAACACATGGTCAGACACTAATTCTAAACTATTTTGTTCAGACTATTTAATAGGAAAATATTACAGTTGATTACTTTTGAATAATAGCAAAAGTGCAGCATAGAGCGGTTAGCCATTTCATGTTACTGCTTCACACTGCATTTATTCACTGCAGTTAATCTCATCTAGTAATAAAAGGCCAGAACCGGCATCAGTGTGTCCCGCGTCCAGTCAGTCTACATGCACCACAACACAAGCAGAACAGAAGCCAGAACACAGTAGCATGGTCCCAGACAGGCTACACTAACAATACATTAAGTTCCATTAATCAACATAGTAGCTTAATTGACCTGTAATTGTGTTAATCTGTCTGTGGAGAAATTGCATGAAATTAAGTTGGATATACATAAAAATAAAGTAACGATATGGTACACAAACTATGGTGAAATAGTCATTTACATGGGAACAGATCATCGCTTTAGAATAGTGTCAAGGCCCAGTAGGTACACTGAAACTATTGTAAAACTATAACTTAAGTACAGCGCTGAAATAACTGGCTAATGACAGGAAAGTAATAGGAAACAGGTAAACAGAACAGCAACTAGCTACAAGCAAAGACCCAAAAAGTATGTTTCTCAAGTCTTCCTACGAAAGTTCCACATACATTCTTAATAAGTATGGACGGTGCTGCTGAGAAGCGGTAAATTGGCCTCAAATACTTACATAACTTCTGCTTATTAACCTCTATTGATCGTTCTTCAGTAACAAATAATTGTTTCTACATAACTTTACTTGGAGAGGAGCCAAGTAAGAACCCCTGGCCAAACCCTCCCCTAACGACGCTGGGCCAATTGTGCGTCACCCAGTTGTGACACAGCCTGGGATCGAACCCGGGTCTGTAGTGACGTCTCAGGCGCTGCAATGCAGTGCCAGAAAGTATTGCCTTCTATTGGATATTTTCAACCAGTGCTGTTAACCTCTAATTCACACCCGTCGTTTAGGCTCCAAACGCTGTGCCAGAAAGGTGTTCTGCCGAAATGAGTGTTCCCACTGACTCCAAACAGGCCTCGCACCAAGCAGCCACCAGGGGTATATTTAGAGTCACCGAACAGTTGATGGCTGCAACAATCCTTAACTGGAATCAGAAGCAGCGTATTCATACCGCAATAAGTGTTAGACATGTACACAAAGCATGGGGCAACCTTGCCCATGAGAAGCCTACATGGATCAATTTCCTCCCCATGTATGGAGGCTGAGGGCTTTGAGTGGCAGTGTATGGGCCCCTCTTCCCAGCGATCCAAACAAAAGCCTATTTTCTGGGAGGGAGCCGAGGCCTCAAGCCATCCCATACAGATCATAGCATGTCTGTGTGGGGATGGTAGACGTGAACTATAGAAGGCCAGATGGCATTTAGTCAGAACTGAATGTAATGACGCTGCTTTTGTAAAGTAGTGAGCAGCAATACAGTAGATACCATACAAGAGTAGCGAACTACACCAAATACCAGAATTTGTGTATAAGTGCAGACACATTTTTATTAGTCAATTGACGAAGTAAGCAACCTTAAGCATTTAATACCACACTTGCTATTAAAGTGAACACCATTCAGTTTAAGGAAGCCAATCTTTATTTGTCATTTAGAGCATAAGCAGCATGTGTAGGGATGACAGTCCTCCAGAATCCTTCACACCCCAGCTTTGACCTGGCTGTTGGGTGGGAGGGGCTTGCCCAGGTGGGTTCCGACAGTCAGGCCGAACTCACTGGCTGCTTGCTTCTCCTGGATATCCTCTTTGAGCTGGAAGCCCAGTCCTCCATCGAAGCTGTCCGAGGGGGTGAAGGTGAGTGGAGTTTCTCCCATTAGACCTTGCAGCCGCGTGCACCATGCCTCTAGCATGCTACGGCGAGCCTCGGAGGGGATGTCGGGTGGAGCCCAGAAGATCTGAGGAGCCAGAACCTGGAAACCACAGTAGTGCAGGATGCCATTCTAGAAGAGGGAATTAACTGGTTTAAGCATGCTCAAGTAGATACATATGAATTGATTTGGCCAAGTGAATTATTGAAATGAGTGCTTGCCAGCCTGGAAGTCAAACATTTGTGTGTGTTATCCAGTGGGGATACCAGAGCAAAGCAAAAGCTCATTGCTGGTAGTGCCAGCCAAGCCTAACATACCTGCAGTGGCCACAGGGTGACATTCATGTCTCCATTGATACCATTGGCACTGAACATAGACTCCTGGGATCCAGTGGTGAAGGACAGCATGGCTTTCTTGTCCTGGGGGAAAACCATCCAGGTGAGGAGAAATGTAAAATGGACCACAGGAACATTCCAACCATGTATTTTTGTTAAGGCACGTTGCGGTCAATTAATTTCTGTGTTTTGTTTCATATTGTACAACAGCTGATGACAGGAAAAGTGTTCAGTGATATTTCCTGATTGTTTTTTCAACCAGCAACTATTACACAGGACCTTTAGTCAGGTTTGGGATGGGTGGCGTGTCAGCGACGTCACACCAGGCCATACACTATACAAATGCAACATGTAAAGTGTTGGTCCCATGAGCTGAAAAAAAGATTCCAGAAATTTAAACATATGCACAAAAAGCATCTCTATAGGTTGTGCACAAATTGGTTTACATCCCTGTTAGTGAGCATTTATCCTCTGCCAAGATAATCCATCCACCTGACAGGTGGGATATCAGAAGCTGATTAAACCACATGATCATTACATAGGTGCTGAGGACAATAAAAAGGCCACTAAAATGTTGTCACATCACAGGTGTCAAGTTGAGCGTGCAATTGGCATGCTGACTGTAGGAATTTAAATGTTAATTTCTCTACCATAAACCCTCCCCAATATTGTTTTAGAGAATTTGGCACAATGTCCAACCGGCCTCACAACCACACCAACCCAGGACCTCCAAATCTGGCTTCACCTGCGGGATCGTTTGAGGGAAGCTCATCTGTGCGCTTGTCCTCACCAGGGTCTTGACCCGACTGCAGTTTGGTGGCGTAACAGACTTCAGTGGGCAAATGCTCACCGTCATGCTGAAGATGTGGGCTTTACATCTGTACCGGGCGAGTGGTTTACTGATGTCAACAGAGTGCCCCATGGTTGAGTTGTTATGGACAAGTATAAGCTACAGACAACTGCATTTGAAGTCTAAGGCAATTTGAATGCACAGAGATTGACGAGATCCGGAGGCCCGTTGTCATGCCGTTCAGCAGTCATCACCTCATGTTTCAGCATGATCATGCATGGCCCCATGGCGCAAGGATGTGTACACAATTCCTGGAAGTTCAAGATGTCCCAGTTCTACCATGGCCGGCATACTCAGACATGTCACCCATTGAGCATGTTTGGGATGCTCTGGAGCGATAGTGTTTTAGTTAACTTCACAGCTATTGAAGAGTGGGACATTCCACAGGCCACAATCAGCCTGATCAACTCTAAGCGAAGGAGCTGTGTCACGCTGCATGAGGCTGACTGGTTCTGAGCCACACACAAATGTAGACACCCCTTCAAATTAATGCATTCGGCTATTTCAGTCACAGCTGACAGATTTATAAAATCAAGCACACAGCCATACAATCTCCATAGACAAATATTGACAGTAGAATGGCCTTACTGAAGTGCTCTGACTTTGAACATGGCACAGTCATAGGACGCCACCTTTCCAACAAGTCAGTTTTGACAGATTTTTGCCCTGCTAGAGCTGCCCTTGTCAACTGTAAGTGCTGTTATTGTGAAATGGAAACGTTGAGGAGCAAAAGCTCAGCCGCAAGTTCTAAGCCACACAAACTCAGAACGGGACCGCAGAGTGCGTAACAATTGTCCTCAGTTACACGCACTACCAAGTTGATGTTCGACGAGCAGGTGTCCACATACAGCTGCATTGGGCCTTTAACAGTGACTATGGGATTGCGTCCCTTACCTTGAAGAGGCCCTGGCTGTACCTCTTTTCTGAGGTGTAGGCAAATCCCAGTGTGAGCACCCGGTCCAGCCAGCCCTTCATGATGGCAGGAACAGTGAACCAGTACATGGGGAACTGAGAAATATGGGAGACACTAGTCAACAACCAGTACCTGGAATGGGTGCATTTCAGCCACCATCCAAAAAGTAAAGAGCTGAAGGGTCTACATTTAATTTATAGGCTCAAATTGAGGCTAAGTTCCCTCAGACACTACCCCAGGAGAGCACACCTGGAAAATGACAACCTCCGCATCAGAGAGTTTGCGGTGTTCCGCAGTGATGTCAGCAGAGAGTCGGCCCTCCTGCCACGCCAGCATGGTCTCCTCTCCATATCGGAAGTGTTCAGCATCCTTCACCTCCCCTGATAAAGCATAACAGACTGAGACTAAGCAAGTTGAGGTAGAAAATAAAAGCCACTTACCCACAAAAAGTTTAGCATTTAATTGGCACACACTACAGTAATTAAGCAACTCATAGTTCAGACTGTTACCAGTGATGTCGTCAACAGTAGCAGAGGCTTTAAACTTCATGGCGTAGAGGTCAGACACCTCCACCTTACAGCCCTGAGCAGTCAGAGCTGTCACAGCTGCATCTTTAGCTGCAGCGTTAAACGACCCAGTACTCTGGTGGGCGTACACGATCAGAACTTTCTCGGCTGCAACACAAGATCACAGATCAGTCACACAAAGTATTACTCAATGAAAGAAACTAGTTTCTCTAGCATAAAGACAAAGTGAAAATGGCACCCAATCTGGAACATACGAAATCACTCACCCATTTTCTAGAGTGCTGCTTGTGATGAGCTAAGGGTCAAGGTGGCTTGGAGGGAAACTAGCTAAGACTGACTGAAGGCTGAGACTGCTGCTTTTGTAATGCTCTCTGGACCAAACACACCCTCTCACACAGCTGCCTGTCAATCAGCAATCAAGCTAATAATCTGTCAGTCATTCAATCAATCAGTCTGTCATCGCTCTCTCCCTCTCCCCGGGAGAAGCTCAATTGGTTTTGCTCGACTCCTCGCGTTCTCATGGAATCCTAAAATATATGTGTAAAGTGGCAAAAATAAATTGAGCTGATTGTCCCATACATTTTATAGATAAAAGACAAGGAGCGTATTGTTTAGAAATATGTCCATGCTTTTCTCCTCTGAGAAAACAACAGCTGATTCAAAGGGGGTGTGGCGGATTTCAAAATGCTTCCATGATAGGGAGCAGAGAAGATATACTTGTGCTTCCTCGGCGGGAGGAGGCTATAAAGGAGAGGAGGGCACTCCTCCGTTCCCCTACTAACGAATTTACACACTACTTGACCACTTATCGGTTTCCGGATCATGGAGGAGAGACTTTTTCCCAATTCAGAATATCTCCCCCTCTCTCACATTCACACGTACACACACTATTATATACTCAACCTGCCAACTGTTTAGTCAATGTACTGTTGTGATGAACACAAGTTAAACTAATCACAGTTTTGGACAGTGTTCCTTATTGCCTGTGAAACATGCCAAACATTGTTGAAGCTATTCTGGACAATATCTATATCCTGTGGCGCAGGCCAATGTGGGACCACTGACCTCGGCCAACCAGTCTATATCCCTGGGTTTGCGCGTGTATGTGCATGTGTACATGTGCAGGTGTGTGTGTGTGCATGTGTTTGTGCATCTGTGTGTGAGCCTACAGTACTTGCATGCTGGCATCAGAGTGTGTTTACGTGTGTTGTGTGTGTGTGTGTTCACTTTAGGTGCAGATAGGGTTGCAAAGGGAGGTTATATTTCTGGACCCAGAGTTACCTCTGCTGCAGAGGACAAGTTCATTAGTTACCAGCCTCAGAAATTGCAGCCCAAATAAATGCTTCACAGAGTTCAAGTGGTCCTCTGTGGTCCCGGGGGTCCTCTGTAGCTCAGCTGGTAGAGCACGGCGCTTGTAACGCCAAGGTAGTGGGTTCGATCCCCGGGACCACCCATACACAAAAATGTATGCACGCATGACTGTAAGTCGCTTTGGATAAAAGCGTCTGCTAAATGGCATATTATTATTATTATTATTATATTCAAGTCACAGACATATCTCAACATCAACTGTTCAGAGGAGACTGTGTGAATCAGGCTTTCATGGTCGAATTGCTACAAATAAACCACTACTAAAGGACACCAATAAGAAGAAGAGACTTGCTTGGGCCAAGAAACACGAGCAATGGACATTAGACCGGTGGAAATTTGTACTTTGGTCTGATGAGTCGAAATTTGAGATTTTGGGTTCCAACCGCTGTGTCTTTGTGAGACACGGTGTGGGTGAACGGATGATCTCTGCATGTGTAGTTCCCACCGTAAAGCATGGAGGAGAAGGTGTTATGATGTGGGGGTGCTTTGCTGGTGACACCGTCTGTGATTTATTTAGAATTAAAGGCACACTTAACCAGCACGGCTACCACAGCATTCTGCAGTGATTTGCCATCCCATCTGGTTTGGGCTTAGTGGGACTATCATTAGTTTTTCAACAGGACAATGACCCAACACACCTCCAGGCTGTGTAAGGGCTATTTTACCAAGAAGGAGAGTGATGGAGTGCTGCATCAGATGACCTGGCCTCCACAATCCCCCGACCTCAACCAAATTGAGATGGTTTGGGATGAGTTGGACCGCAGAGTGAAGGAAAAGCAGCCAACAAGTGCTCAGCATATGTGGGAACTCCTTCAAGACTGTTGGAAAAGCATTCCAGGTGAAGTTAGTTGAGAGAATGCCAAGAATGTGCAAAGCTGTCATCAAGGCAAAGGGTGGCTATTTGAAGAATCTCAAATATAAAATGTATTTAGATTTGTTTAACACTTTTTTGGTTACTACATGATTCCATATGTGTTATTTCATGGTTTTGATGTCTTCACTATTATTCTACAATGTAGAAAATTGTTAAAATAAAGAAAGTCCCTTGAATGAGTAGGTGTTCTAAAACTTTTGACCGGTAGTGTAAATCATTTCACATTCCTTATATTAAGCACTTTTTTTTTTTTATTGTACTTTTTAAATACTATGGACAGCCAGGGGCACACTCCAACACTCAGACAAAGCAACTGTGTTTAGTGAGTCCGCCAGGTTAGAGGCAGTAGGGATGACCTGGGATGTTCTCTTGATAAGTGTGTGAATTGGACCATTTTCCTTTCCTGCTAAGCATTCGAAATGTAATGAGTACTTTTGGGTGTCAGGGAAAATATATTGAGTAAAAAGTACATTATTTTCTTTAAAACTGTAGTACTGATACCAGAACAGGCCTTGCACAAACGTTTTCCCCCAGCACATGTTCTGGTTGGCGCCCGTATTGCCTTCATGGTTGTTTTCCTTACAAATTGGACTTTGGACATGTGTGCGTTCCTATCAAAGTATGTGGCTTATTTTCTGTATATGGCGTTGTCGTTTCTGCTGTAGCACACCCTGTATGAATGTATGGATCATAATGTATTTACTGTTTTATTCACATGTTTTCAAGTACTGGTGACAAATCATGGATTCCGATTCTTGCATAGATTGTAATGGACACATATGATGTGTGTAACATACTTTTTTGAATGTTGTGCTGATTATGATGAGCTAATGCTAAGTAAGCTATTTGCCGGCTATGTGTGGCGCCATGTTTGTTGACAATTCTGGTTGTCACGTAAGGGTCTGTCAGACCAAAGATGTTATAACAAGGGATAGTTCACTCGACTGATTTATGGTGCTTTCAAGACATCTGTGAACTCGGAAAAATACTAGGTAAAATCATGACGTCAATGATCTTCAGGTCGGAAAGTCGGAGCTCTAGAAAGAGGCCCGAGTTGGATGACCGTTCAAAACGATTTTAACCAGTCGGAGCTCGTTTTTTCCCGAGTTGCCAGTTGTCCTTAACGCACTGAGGTCGGAAGTCGTAGATTTCACAGTTCCCAGTTGTTTTGAACGCGGCATCAGATTGTAATTGTGGTACCTCATGGTTGCCAACTCAGACCCCCCTTTCGAGGGGTTTTATTTTTATTTAGTGTATAAACTTCTCCTGTGTTGGCCCCCATTTATTGATAAATCTCTGCATCATATCCCCCCACGATACCTTCCCCATGGACTTGAACCCCCCCCCCACAAGCCCGCCTAAAATGGTTTCATCCCTGTTTAGCTTTCGCGCTACGGTTAGGCTACGCAGTAGGCTTGTATTTGGTCACCAAATACAAGCGTGATGATCTGTGAGGTGAAAACATTTTATTTACTTTGTGATTTGTCAAAAACGGTAAATGACTTTCAAAGTCATGTGCTCCGGTTCTTGTATACACTGTAACAAGTACATCAACGATTTGTAATATGCTGAAAAGTGACTAAACTAAATTCATATTTTTCAGGCAATGAGCGCAGCCATCTTTGACTTTGTTTATTTGCGTTTTATAGTGAATGGCATTCTGGGATTAGGGAGTTTTCGCCAATTCAAACATAAACAAACATGGCTGCCATCATAAAGCTGCTGTAAATTTAGCATTTCTTTTCTAAACAACATTACATTAGTCTATTGTGCTCACCAGAGATGTGGTACATTGTAAACTAGTCTAGGTTGCTAACTTATGTTTAGTTTTTTGTAAGCGCAACCTGTTATTTAAACTGGTTTATGGAATGAGTTTGGCTGTGGATGTGTTCCGTGTGATGCTTGGATGATGAAGTTCGCATTTATCTTTTACAATAAAAGGTAAAATTGAGGAATAAAGTTTAAGACCTTTATTTTCCATCAGTACCAACAAATATTTAGATGCTGTTCAGACAACAATGCTGTTTAGACGTGTTTGTAGCGTCATACGTTCTGTTGCTACTGTTCCAATCACATATTTGAGATTGTACATTGCAGGGACCACTCAACAATGATCACAAATAGGTGATCATATGTGTCAAAGGGTTCAAGTATTTTTAATTAAAGATGCACTCTCAAACTTTTGTATAATTTTAGCCAGTCGTTTTGAAAGTGGTGCTCATGAGCCAAAAGTGGTCCCCGTTTTTTGTGTACTACATCATCAAATTGTGTACTACATCATCCATTTCGTATGATATGTTACGAATCCAATTCGTCCTATATGTTACAAATTTGTTGTGCTTTAGATCCTGGTGTGCATCTTTAAGTACCGGTACTTTAGTTTACACCATTGCCAATAGCATCCCAACACACCATATTTCATCCTGCACAAGCCTTGTGATATGTGTTAGCCATCTGAGAACCGATCTCATTGACACAACTCTGCTTAGATCGCCAGGTAATAAGTTAACTTTGGTGTTTTGTTTACTAGTTTAGCGACCTGGCTAACGCTGTCGTGGCTGGCAAATACTGAGCTAGACTAGCTAGCTAGCTAGTTGGCTATTAATGACATATCCGCAAATCAGCCATGTGGTGTGCATTTTTGTATTTGGAAAAGTCTGGCGTTAAGTGAGTGAGAGGGGAAATGGTTGCATATCCCAGAACCAACGGGTGTCTATGAGCAGGGGTTGTGAGAGGGAGCTTTCAATGTTGTGTAGATGAGGGATATACATTTTTAAATATAGTATACATCTAATCTATTTTTTTTATTGTCCTATCATGATGGAACGATCCCCAACCCTATATCCTGGACACCCACTTGAGCGACCCATACACCAAAGAGAAGTTCCCATCTGTTTTATGGACCTGCTGTGAATTGCCTATATGCAGCCTAAACAGAGAAATAAATGTGGTCAGAGGGGTTGGTCCTACAAAGCCAGAGCCCCCGATGGGGGAGCATAATATACAAGGAAATTCTCAAAGCTGC